GCCCCCCAAGTTCTTCCAGACTAGGGAACTAAGGGAACATCATACCTACACCTGAGAAATGACCCCGTCTCTGATGGAGCAGGTTCCCTGTCTTATCCTGCATGAATGCAGTTGCCCCCTTACCCGCGCCCGTCCTACAGGAAAGCCCAGTTGCCACAGATTCCACACCCATCACCTTGGCCATTCTGAGCTCCTGCAGCTCCAGGGTCGCCTGGAGACAGTACATCCCTGCTCCCTCCACAGAGCTGCTCTCCACACCCAGCCTTTGTTCTGGAAACCCCAGAGGGGCTGGGGCTTGGCTCATCTCAGGAAATGTTTCCCCTGGGCTCTGGCTTATACTCCTGATCTCTCTACTCACCCAAAGACCCTCTTGAAGCCCAGTGCCCCCTCTGCAGCTCCTAGGAGTTACTGTTCTAGGTCCTGCCCCTGCCTAGCAGTGTCCCACCTCCCAACAGCCACACAAGCTCTGCACAGAGTGACCTGGGACCAGCACAGGGAAACGTATAGCTCAATGTCAGACTGCATAAGCAATAAAATAAGGTCTTAATAAAGCATTCTGGAGTGTAGGCGATTCCTACGGTCAATCATGATTGTCTTGTGTCCTCTGTGTTGCATAGCTGCTCCAACAATTCCATTCCCCTGGTGCCCTTAGTATCTTAATCCTGGAATAACACTGGTAGACTAGGAGAAAAGGCCGTTTTCTCCCTCGCTGTTGCCAGAAGCATTATTTCCTCTGAGGGTTCCATGAGCCAAGACTGTTCTCGGTCACAGAACTTTTAAAATTTTCCTGAAGCATAAAACTTGGGTGCTGGGGAATTTGGAAGCATCTTGGGACTAGAAGACACTAAGCCCAGCAGGACAACCTAGACTCTAGGCCAGAGAACTCCTCAGGACTCAATGTGGTTATGATTCTTGTTTCCTCTGGACCACTCCCTGGTACTCCCGCCTGCCATCTGATCTCTTGGCTGGAGGAATGTCAGGCCCTGCTCCCATGGAAGAATACCTGGTAAACTTGTTTTTAAAAAGTCTCAGACATATTGAAGCAGATCTTAGTGAGTGGGGTTAGGGAATCTTTTTTTTTTCCTCCTTTTAAAAAAATTTATT